TCTCCCTTCACCCACCCCTCTGCTGCCCATCCCCCAGAGAGGAGGTTATATGTAGACCCCTGTGATCAATTCCCCCTTTCTACACCCCCCTTCCCTCTTGGTATCCCACTGTCACCCCTGGTCCTGAGGGGTTCATCTGTCCTAGATAACCTGCGTTTCCAGTTCCCGTCTGTACCTCTGTGCATCCTCTGTTCTAGGGTTCAGTATAGCAATAATGAAACCCAAAACCTTCCTCTAGTTCTTAAGTGCTTCCTTCCCCCAACTACCATGACCCCAATTCTGCCTACAATACTTATTAAACTGGGCCAACGTTCACTGTTGCTTTCAACCCTCAGCGTCTCAGGAGAAAACTCCCACACCCCTTTGGGTTCCTGTTTTATCATCTAGGCCTAAGACCCACTCTATTCTGTGTGAACAAACTCCTAGAAACATCCGTCAGTTCTTTCATTTGTCCTATTTCTGTTTTCTTGCTGTGTCCTATAGAGGAGCCCTGGTGATGTAGTGGTTACGTGTTGGGCTGTGATCTGCACGGTCAGTAGTTCAAAACCACCAGCAGCTCCACGGGATAAAGACTTGGACTTTGTACTCCTGTAAACAGTTGCAGTCTTGGTGGTGACCCACAGGAGGTTGCAATGAGTCAACATTGACTTGATGGCAGCAAGTTGTTTTTTTTAAAAATATGGTCGCTATAGGACACATCCGTGTTCTCTTTATATCCCCTGACCTAATGACTCTTTAGGGTTTTTGAGTCTGTAAATCTCTATAGGAGCTGCCTTATTTGTGTCCTGTGGAGTGACTGATGGGTTTAGACGGCTGACAGAAAAGAAAGCGAGAGAGAATTGCCACACCATGCTCCGTGTCCTGGTCTAGATATGGGATGGTGTTGTGGGAACAGGTAGAAGGGGCTCCCCCGCAGATGCGGGTGGGTTCCTGGAAGGAAAGGCCTTTAAGCGGTGTCTTCGAGGACTGATGAGAGTTAGCCAGAAGGAGGAGGAAAAGTAGTTTGGGTGGAAGTTGTCACTCTGACAAAACCCAGGAGTGAGAAGAGAAGCAGAGAGGTTTAAGGGAGATGGAGGGCGCACTTAAGGAAACTCGATGACGTAGCAGTTTGAAACCAACAGGCTCTCCTTGGGAGAAAGACGGCTTTTCTATTCCTGTAAAGAGTTAGTCTTTGAAACTCACAGGGGCAGCTCTACCCAGTCTTATATTGTTACTGTGAGTCAGCATCAACTGCATAGTAGGGAGTTTGGTGTTAATTTTGGAGTGAGCACTTAACTGTGCTCATGCAGAACTTGTACATGGATTAAGAGGCAGTTGTGCAAACAGAACAAGGGAATCAATGTGGTTTAAAATCAAGAAAGGTGCGTATCCGGGTTCTATTCTCTCACCGTACTTATTCACTCTGTATGCTGAGCAAATCATCTGCAACCCTGGACCCTGTGAGGAAGAAGGAAACATCAGGATTAGAGGAAGGCATTGATTAACAGCCTGGGATATGCAGATGACACAATCTTGCTTGCTGAAAGCAAGGAAGACGTGAAGCCTTTGTTGATGAAGCTCAAGGATTGCAGCCTCCAATATGGATTACACGTCAATGGAAAGAAAGCCCAAATCCTCATAACGGGACCAACAAGTAATATCATGAGAAACTGAGAAACAATTGAACTTGTCAAGGCTGGCGCCTTGCTTGGATCCACAATCAATGCTCACGGAAGCAGCAGTCAAGAGATTAAATGATGCCTTGCATTGGGTAAATCTGCTGAACAAGACCTATTTAAAGTGTTGAAAAGCAAGGATGTTATTGTGGTAGTTATATAATCATTTGTCAATTTGAGAGGATTATGAGTAAAGGGGTGTGGGGTCTAGTCTGTTAATCAGGTGATAGCCAATGAGGCCTCTGTGTGGGCATGGCCTTCTCCTGAAGACTCTGGGAACTCCAGTATTTCCTCCTTGGAGACGGGAGACACTCTCTTTCTGAACTCACTCCCTGGGAGATGCTCTACTGACAAGACACATGGAACTATACTAGTGCCCTCAGGGAGAAGCCCCGGGGAGAGCCCTGCCAGCACTGAGATGCTTACACTGCCACTGGATCCACAAGACTTACCTACCCCTGGTCTTTGATCTTCCTGCATTTGGCGTCACTGCATGTGCTTCATGAGTCTGAAGAGGACTTTATAGATTCGTATTGGACATATGGGCTAATATCGGACTTATGGACTTGATCTGGACTGGGTTGAGATGTTTTCTCAATATTCAACTGCTCTTGTATATAAAGCTCTTTTATATACACATGAGTGTGTCAATGGATTTGTTTCTCTAGTCAACCCAGACTAGCACATTATGGTAAGCATATGGGTAAATATGCTGAACAAGACCTACTTAAAGTATTGAAAAGCAAGGATGTTACTTTGAAGACTAAGGTGCCCCTGACCCAAGCCATGGTATTTTCAATGGCTGCATATGTATGTCAAAGGTGAACATTGAATAAGAAGGACCAAAGAAGAATTGATGCATTTGAATTATGGTGCTGGCGAAGAATATTGAGAGTATTATGAACTGTCAGAAACCCAAACAAATCTGTCTTGGAAGTAGTAGAACCAGAACGCTCCTTAGAGGCTTCATCTTATGTACTTTGGACATGTTATCAGAAGAGACCAGTTCCTTGAGAAGGACATCATGCTGGGTAAAGTAGAGGGGCAGTGCAAAAGACGGAGACCCTAGACAAGGTGCATTGACACAATGGCCGCAGCAATGGGCTCAAACGATTGTGAGGATGGCATAGGACAGGGCCGTGTTTTGTTCTGCTGTACGTAGTGCCATTATGAGTTGGAGCCCACTCAATGACACTGAGCAGCAACAAACAGTTAAATGCTTGACTGCCGTGTTAGTCCCGGTTGACTAGAGGAACAAATTCATTAACACTCATAGAGAGAATTCTATGTCAAGAAGAAATCATGCATCAACAAAACACCCCAGACCAGTCTAGATCAAGTCCATAAATTCGATATTAGCCCCTATGTTCAATCTTAGCACATGAATTCCTCCTCAGACTCACGCAGCACATGCAATGATGCCGAATACAAGAAGATCACAGGTCAGTGGGTGGAAAGTCCTGTGGAGTCCATGGCAGTGGACACATCTCCAGGGCTCTGGCTGCCATCAGCTTGGCTCCGCATGGCTCATCATCAGGCATGTGTAGCAGAGAGAGTGTGTGGTCTGCCTCCCTACAGAAAAAGAGAAAGTTCCCAGAATCGTCCTAAGAAGGCCATACCCTCACAGAGGCATCATTGGCTTTGACCTGATTGACAGGCTAGTCTCTACCTCTTCACTCATTATACCCTCAAGTTGACATGAGATTATGTAACTACCGCAACTGCTAACCAAATGGTTGGAGGTTCAAGTCCATCCAGATGCCTTGGAACAAAGGTCTGATGGTCTGCTTTGGGAAAACATTTTGAAGCACAGTTCTGCTGTGACATGTGGGGTTGCCAAGGGTTGGAACCTGCTCAATGGCAACTCATTTTTAAGGAGGACAATGGGGGCTGCAGTAGGCAAAGGTAAAAGTGGGGAACGGTAGGGCTGCCAAGCAGACAGAGGCCTCTCCTGGAGGCCTGTCCACTTTCATAGGGCCTTTGGTCCCATCTGGAGTGGTGCAGGGCTTTCCACAGGAAGGCATATGATCAGACTCTAATTTCTGAGAGTTGTGTTTTTTTTAGAGATGTCTCCGGAGCAAGTGTGGAGAATGGTTTTGTGTGTGTGGGGGTGGGGTGGGGTGGGGAGGACAGTTAAACTGATGGCAGCTATACAGCCACATTCCCAAGAAATTTTGAAGATTGAAACCAAGCAACTGACATTTGGGATGGAGAAAACTAGATGGATTATGGGATTGTGAAGGCAATGGATGGATTATGGGATTGTGAAGGCTACCAACTGGATAGATTTAGAGCCTGGGGTGGGGTGGGACTTGGGGTAGATAAATGTTTCCAGCTTGGGCAATTCAAAAACAGGGCTACTTATTAAAGTCATTTGCTTCTTAGGGTTGCCATGAGAACACAGCACAGCGTGGGTGGCTTCAGGGGAGGAAGCTTATTGCATCATGGTTCTGAAGACTAGAAGCCCAAATTCAGGGGTGCACAGGGGCCAGGCTCTCTTGCTGTTTCCTTTACAGGATTCTCCTTTCGTGTCTCTTTCGACTTTGGAGCTGTGGCCTTTCCCGGCATTCCTTGCCTTGTAGCCAGGCCCACAGATTGTTCTTGGTCCCCACGTGGGACTCTGATTCTGTGTCTGCTCCACCGTCTCATGAGATACACCTCAGAAGTGATTAGGACTCGGACCCATGCTACTCTAGTAGCATTTGACTGATAATCGGTCACATTCATAGGTATGGAGGTTAGAATGCTATCATGTCTTTTTTGGGGGGGTGGGGTGGGATGGGGGGGGTCATGTACAGATGCTGTCGCATTCAGCTGGTGAGAGGCTTAGGCCAGAGTGACGAGAAGTGATTCAATCCTTGGTATATATTGAAGGTAGACGCACCTTCTTGTCTTTCCCTGGCAGTTACCAATTTACTAGTCAGCAGCTATGGTATTAGTATGCGACTTTTTCTTTTCTTAAACAGTGTTGTGGCTACTTCAAGGATCCCTAGGATCCCTGGTTGCACAGTGGTAAAGCCCTGGGCTGCTAAACTAAAGGTTGGTGGTTTGAACCCACCAGCAACACTGTGGGAGAGCGATGTGGCAGTCTGCTTCCACAAAGATTATGGCTTCGGAAACATTGTATGACAAATTTACTCTGTGTTATTGGGTTGCTTTGAGTTGGAATTGACCCAATGACAATGGGCAGGAGTCGTTAGTAGGTTAAGGTGGCTTGGTGGTGTAGTGGTTAAAGTGCTCACGTGCTAATGGAAGGTTGGTGGCTTGAAACCCTCCCCTGACCCCCCAAGTGGCTATGCAGGAGGCAAGACCTCCCATAAAATGACTGCCCAACAAGCCCTGTGAGGTGATTCTATGAGTTGGAATGGACTCGCATGAGCACAGCCCCAGTTGACACGTATTTTGTCACAGGGAGAAAGCCAAGGCTGTCTAGTCTCTTGGAGAGTCACCGTCTCTAGAACTCACAGAGCCCCATAGGGCTGCTATGAATCAGCATTGATTCGATGGCAGTGGATTTGGATTTGGGTTTTTATTTCACCAGAGGTGGATTATTTCTGTTTGCCTTTGTGCTTTAAACACTGTTAATATTTTGTGCTCTAAATATAGTGCAATCAAAGTTGAATCAAAGAAAAATGAAAAGGCACATGCATTACGTTTTCTGATTTCAATGATTAGAATTATTTCACATGGTGCTAAAATGGTTTCTCCTGTTTTATAGACTCTTTAAGGCATGTAGAAAGAAAAAGAAAAATAGAGCTGAATGGATTATATTAACACTACACTCACTTGAGCCCCGAGGGAGTGGTGGCAAAGCTAAACGAGTGAAAAAGCCCGAGTTATAGATTTTTTTAAAAATATGGTTTTATTAGTTTCATATGTATTTATAGAAACTTGAAATATAGGTCTTTGAGGGACCACTTAATTTGTTAAAGAATTTTATATAAAAGGAATGCTTTTAGAATGCTTGCAAGTTAATTTTCCTAAGTGCTCAACCTTTCCCCTGATTGCTTGGCTTCATTATAAATTTGCCTCACAAATCCTTGTTTCAGAGATATAATAGGTAAGCCTTCACTTCGATTTTATTCTGACTGTAATAAGCGTAGGTTTATTGGGGTTTGGGTGAATTCTATTTTAGTATAACTGTGAAAAACTGTTGTTGATATACAGGCCAATTTTGATGATCTGTGGAGGAAATTTGTTACGTATTCATCTGGTGAACAACTTTTCGGATTGCCTGTGACTGACTATGAAGTTTTACACAAAACCAGGTAAGTCTGAAAAGTGTGCAAGCGCTACTGGTGCCAGTCATGAAATCCAGCCCAGTGGACGGATCGTGTCCATCTTATCCTTTATCATGCAAAGAAGAGCCAGCCTTGAAACACTCTTGAATTTCCCCCTAATTCCCAGCTACTCCTTAACCCATTTGATACGCAATTTCCATGCACAAAAGAAACATTCTAGGGAGAAGAAAATGCACTGGCAGAAATTCTGCCGCAAGCCCTTGTTTAGCCTGCACTTCTCTTCTCTGCCCTGCTTTTGAATAATGTCAGTGATCGAGCAGAAGCGCTGCGATTTCATAGAACTTTTGTTCATTAGAGGAATAACCATTGTTGGCTCTCCATTTCTTCTTCATTGCGTTTATGCTAAAGTGCTCTTCCCCATTGGGGATGTGTTGGGATTGAAGGCCAATAAATCATAAACAATGGCAGGCCCAGGACTCCAGCAAGTACATTTTAATAGAAGTTTTAATGGAACTTGCTTCAGAGGCAAAATTAAACCGGCGGTATTAGTTTATTAGATTTTTGGCATTTGAAAAGCTCTTTCTGTTGACTTCTTTCCAAGTCACCGCATGAAAATTTCATGGCGAACGAGATGTGATGTTGTCCGAAGAACAAAGAGTGCTTCAGTGGCTTAGGTGGGTGGGTTTATTCTTTCCTAAAGGAAGGATTCACCGAGCTTAATCCACTTGGCCTGGGGCAGGTCTCTGGGCTTCATCCTTCGTTTGTTGAATTAGGACTCTGGGATCGAGCCCTAGGAACTCTGCCCCGTTACTTGTTCTCCAGGTGATTCTTATGCTCATTTCATCTCAGAGTTCATGGTTTAGTCCTTGGAAGCCCTGGTGATGCAGTGGGGTAAGCGTTGGGTGCTGACCACATGAGGAGGAGGGAACTGCTCCCATATACAGAGGTGCAGCCTTGGAGACCCAAAGGGAGCACTCCTACTTTGTCCCGCAGGGTCGCTGTGAGTTGCAATCGCCTCAACAGCGGTGGGTTTGATTTTTGTGATAGCGGGAAATTCCAACATGCTCAACTCCCTGCCATCCAGTCGATGCCAGCTCATAAGGACCTACAGGACAGGGCAGAACTGCCTCCTGTGTGTTTCCAAGACCGTAACTCTGTACAGGGGTAGAAAGCCCCGTCTTTCTCCCACGGCGAGGCGGCTGTTTTCAAACAGCTGACCTTGCAGTTAGCAGCTGAATTCATAACTCCTGAGCCACCAGGTCTCCTCTCAGTACTAATATACCCTTTTAAAAATTCAAGGAATTATTTTAAGCAATTTTATGCATACCTTACAGAAATAAAAATAAAGGGATGGTGAAAAGCAACGTAGTATTAGGTGGGCGGCCATCCCCCCACTGCTAATTTCAGGTTCAGTAAGCACAATTGTATGGTCGAGATATATATATTATATTAGAGGTAGAGGAGAGATTGGAATAGTGGAGTCAGACACATTTCATGGTAGATGCTCACCTCAGCCCTGCTTGATGGTCCACGTGGATAGAGGGGGAAGGGAAGGAGGGCAAGGGAACAAGGGAACAAGGGAGCGAGGAGAGGAGAGTGAGGAGGAGAGAGTGATCTCTATTGCTAACCCAGGCCTATATACCTTTTGGGGGCGTGCAAACCCACTAATTACAGGTAAAGACATGCGTCACAGGAAGGGGTTGCACTATAGGTTATACAACAATGAGGGGGTGGTCTAGGGACATAACCGCAATAGGAAGAGGAGGGATTGGGGGTATACATGTGACAAGATGGGCAGATCCTAGATTTAGGATGGCAGCTTAACTTTGACCTGTTCTCTGAATCTCCATAGGAACCATTATCAGTAGGGTGTAAACCCCACCTACAGGAACCAAATAGATGCCTGCAACCCTGTCCATTGTCTTTAACAGCAGGGAGGAGGGGCCCACTGCAGTCTGGCAACTGATCGCTTCTTGGGGAGGATGCCTACAAGCATCTAACCTCCCCCCACAAAGCAATTTTTATTAGAAAATCTAGTAAGAACTGAAATCCAGCAGGCCACACTTTGGCTTTGTAATATCCTGGTTTGAAGTGTTATAGACACAAAGTGAAGACCTTGATTTGAATGCAACCAACTTGTAAACATCGAGTCCACATTTCAGCTCTGTCTCTAATAGGTTCTATCTTACCATTACTTCAGATTTTTTTTTGCATTTACAATCCACAAATGAAGACCATTGAATACACTGACATTTATAATGTTGTGGAAGAGAGGACTGCCATCTGGTTTGAGCTATAAGCATGAAAACATTTTATTCTTAGTTTTAGAATGATTGATCCAGTGATTTAAAAAAAAAAGAGGCATTGTCTGTGTTAGTTTAGGTAGACTAGAGAAACAAATCCATGGACACACACATGTGTATAGGAAAGCGATTTATATACAAGAGCAATTGAACATTGAGAAAGCATCCCAGCCCAGTCCAGATCAAGTCCACATGTCCAATATTAGCCCATATGTCCAATACCAATCTATAAAGTCCTCTTCAGACTCACAAAACACATGCAGTGATGCCGAATGTAGAACATCACAGGCCAGTGGGTAGAAAGTCTTTGGATCCAGTGGCATTGGAAACATCTCAGCGCTGGCAGGGGTCTCTCTGTGGCTTCTCCAACACCCATGGCTGTATCAGGGTGGGTCCATGTGTCTTGTCTGCTGCTATGTCTTCCAGGGTGTGAGCAGAGAGTCTCTCACCTCCAAGGAGGAAATACCAGAATTCCCAGAATCCTTAGGGGAAGGCTTTGCCCACACAGAAGCCTCATTGGCTATGTCCTGATTGACAGACTAGACTCTACCCCTACATGCTGAGCCCTTAAATTGGCAATTGTACAACTACCACATTGTCTATTTTCTTTGAATACTCAACTGCCTTCCCTATTTGTCTACTTATGAGCTGTTTCCAGGACATATCCATTATAAATAATGAAAGACTATGGTCACCTACCACTTTCTCAAAATGGGATGGCCTAAGTCCTTGTTTGAGCAGCCCTAGTGGCATAGTGGTTACTCATTGGGCTGTGATCTGCAAGGCCGGCAGTTCGAAACCACCAGGCCTTCCTGGGGAGGAGAGCGGGCTTTCTGTGCTTGTACAATTGTCAGTCTCGGTAACTCACCAGGGCAGTTCTACCCTGTCCTATAGCGTCACTGTGAATTGGTATCCACTGGATAGCCATAAGTTTGATTCGGTTTTAGAAATTCTTGATGTGAAATATTGCATGGTGAAGCTCTTTCTCTAGAAAGACATTGTTCCTTCATAAATTATTGAGGTAAATAAAATTCATATCGGTTATTGCTATATATATGAAACAATAACAAAACAAGTCTGAGATTCCTCTTATACAATCAGTTACACCATGAGCATTCGAATCTAGAGTGCATTTTGTTAATTTTCTGCTCTTTGCCTTTTTAACTAGAAAATGAAAAATTCTGATTTCTCTGCTGCCTTGAATAAAAGCTAAGTGAACCAACCACCAAAAAACCATGAGATTCAAAGATGGTGTCTCCAGAGTTCTTTCTTGAAAAATGAGGCAATACTTTGGGTGATACAATAAAAACCCCCGAAGGATGATGCAGTGATAATACTGTTCTCATTCTTGTATGCTCTTCTAAGGAAATGTCATCATTCTGTTCTTCTATTATCTTAGTCATTTTTTTTAGCATTTTATTTAGGAACAGTCAATGAGTAATAATGACATAATTCCTAGGATCATTAAATAGAAAAATGAATCAAGAAGTGGAAAAATAAAGAAATGGAAATGTGGTAAGTAGACCCACACGGCATCTTCAGTAGTTTTACCCCCATTTACAAACGTAAAGTAAATCTGACATAGAAAAGTGAATCAAGAATTGGAAAAATAAAGAAAACTTGCAGTAAGTAGACTTACACAGCATTTTCAAGAGTTTTGCCTTGAACATCAAGGTAAAGAATTTTACCTTTAAACATAAATACATTTTACTCTTATTTTTGAACTAGTGGGAATGAACAAGAATATCATCATGTGACTATTAAATCTTACAAATAGTTAGGACTATTTGTAGTTCTAATTGTGGGTCAAAAGAGAAACCCCATGATGAAAATTTGGTCCAGTGAACCCTCATGGGATGTTATGGGTTGAAGAATTCTGGGATAATTTACAAATTCTGTTGAGAGGGCAATTTAGGGTTTCACACAATGAAGAACTTTCCTTACTTGGGCTTGGCGTTTTGGACCCAACAGTTTTGAACAGCAGGGCATCCTGAGACGAGAGCCCTGGCATCTGCTTCTGAAAGCCCATGGTCTGGAGAACCCTGGGCAGTGCCACCCATGGGCTGCCCCGAGCTGGACTCAGCTCCACACAGGCACTGTGCTTCTCAGGTTCGGTGTATGAGGAGAGGCTCCTAGAAGGAAAGAGATGTTTTAAACTCGGATACAAAAGCAGACCAGTACTTAATCTCCCTTCATGCATCGAGTCAGTGCTGATTCATCGGGAGCCCCTGTGGGTTTCCAAGACTGTCACTGTTTACAAGAGTAGAAAGCCCAGTCTTTCTCCTGGGGAGCGACTGGTGGTTTTGAACTGCCGACCATGTGGAGCACAGCCCAACATGTAACCACTACACCACCAGGGCTCCCTAACTGGTACGTAGTCAAAGGAAACATTGTCATAAAAATCCAACTTGTATTTGAAACTTAAAAAATCAAGGAAAACCTTTGCCTTGGCTTTGATCTCATCATCAAATTTTGTTCTCATTGTTTGAAAGTATTAGTCTAATAATGTTCCTCTTGGGGAAAAAAAAACAGCCAGCAGATGGTTTTCTTTTACAGAATAATGGAACTCTTTGTTAGTACCAAGTCATTGCGTGATTTTGGAATATTTGAGAGCTGCAAAGCTGACCTTATTGATGGAGTGTGAGCGAAGACTTTCCCTTGGCAGTGGTTGCAATTGTATTCCTCCTCTGACCACAAGACGTCGTCCTATAATGTCTAAAACACTTCATTGGATCAACTCTGCCAGCCACCTAATGGACATTATTAACTATGCAAATTATGGTAGTGACTTGGTCGTCTTGTTTTCCAGAAAGGAACTGAACTTGCTGCAGAAGCTGTATGGACTGTACGACACTGTAATGGGCAATATTAGTGGTTATTATGAGATGCTCTGGAGTGATGTAGATATTGAGAAAATTAACGCAGAGCTTCAGGAATTTCAAAACAGGTGAGTTTCCATCCAGCTGGATTTACCTTTACATCGTTCCCATCTTCTGGGAGTCGGTAGGCATTTCACAACCCGAGACATTGCTGTGTGTACGTGGAACTTTCTTCAAAGAACTGTAGAGGTGAATTTCTCATGTTTCTCTTTGCCCGACAGATGTCGTAAACTCCCCAAAGGACTTAAAGATTGGCAAGCGTTCTTGGATCTCAAGAAAAGAATCGATGATTTCAGCGAGTCGTGTCCTCTTCTGGAAATGATGACCAACAAGGCCATGAAACAGAGGCATTGGGATCGCATCTCTGAGTTAACTGGAACCCCTTTTGATGTGGAATCAGATTCTTTTTGTCTTAGAAATATTATGGAAGCTCCACTCCTGAAGAATAAGGATGACATCGAGGTAATCAGAGGACATAAGGACTTTTAAAAATAATGTTTCCTTTTCCTGGACATTGTACCAACAGACATTTTATTAGAGATATGCTATTTCTCCTCGAGAGCACACCTTCAAAATGAGGAATGATCCTTGGAAACCCTGACTTTTACAAAATGATCCTGTAACTGAGGGAGATGATAGGATTATTCTAAATATCTTGATTTCGCAACCCCTCAATCTTTTCTTCTTGTGCCTTAACTGTCCCTCCAGTTTTTTTTTTAACAAAATCTGTTCACTGCTGTCTGTGCTCTTGATGAACTATTTTGTGTTTTTAGAACTACCTCCCAAATTTCTAAATTTACACTTTCCCCATTAAGTGTATTAAATGTGTTATTATATTTTTCTGGGTTTAAAATATTGTCTTGTATTCCTGGGTTCCCCCTCCCCCCACCTTTGCATATCTTTTCCCCCATGGTCCTTCTTTTAGAAGTGATTTCCTATTTATCTCTTTGAGCACCATAAACATGAATATTTTTATATTTTAATTATGGAGAATTCCAAACATGTATAAAAGTAGAGCTCCTTTGCTTCAATGATCATCAATTCTTGATGAATATTATTTTATCTATACCTCCCCATACTTGAATACTTTCAGAACAAACATAAAGATGCTCTTTAGCTTGGCATTTAAAATCAATTTCACTGGACTGAGTTTGGCTTCTCTGTTGGCCATCTCTCTGAGCATTGTTGTTGTTGTTTTTCCCCATGGCTTGAAAAAATTTTATACTGGGGAGGATGGTATACTGGGGAGGATGGTAAGTTAGAGAATAAAAAGACATCTAATTTGTTAAAATCGCTCCTCGCACTCTTTCTGTGTTTTAGCTCTTCTTGTCTAGTGGTTTTTTGGGTTCCATCCCCACTCTCCATCTTCTCTAGCCTCATGTCCAGAACCAGGTGTTAAAAGCAGATCACACCCACTATTTGGTAATGAGGTGGTGGGTCCAGGCACGAGGTGACTTGGTGTGGATCCCATTCACCTAGTCCAGAGCTTCATTTAATCTAAATGGCCAGAGAGCAGACTGGGGGCAGTACTTCCAGCCTCCTTCCACAGGTCTCGAGGTGCAGCCCCCAGCTCTGATGCTTTCTCTCATATAGACCACCTTCAGGAACCTAAGACCTGCCCACTAGGAACCAGACCCGCCCCCCCCTCCCCCCCAGGCTTGTGGCTTCACCTCCGCCCCCTGGTTTGCTTATTGGTTTCTACTTCTGGTCCAGGGAGACTGTCCTAGTTACCCAGTGCTGCTACAACAGAAACACTACAAATGGGTGGTTTCAACAACCAGAATTATTATTACTTTGACAGTGTTGGAGGATAGAAACTTGGATCCAGGCTGCCAACTCTAGGGGGTGTCTTTCTCTGCCAGCTCCCAAGGCAGGTTCCCTCTTTCCTGGTTCCTGGAGATCTCCATGTGTCTTGGCATCTCTCTCACCCCATCTCAGATTGTTAGCTTGCTTCTAATCCCTTTTATAATATCTTTTTAAAAAGGAAAAGAGAGGTGCATTCCAGACATACCCTACACCAATCCGGAAATAACCCATTTCCAGAGGGGTTATAATCCCAGAGAAAGGGGCTAGAGATGACAGCCCATGTTTGGGAGGGTATACAACCTAATCCATCACATTGCTTCCTGCACCCACCGTCACTGAGTGGATTCTCTCTTAGTGATTTAACAGCAGAGTAGCAGCGCCCCCTAAGGTTTACGAGGCTGTAACTCTTTACAGGAGCAAAAAGTCACAGCTTTCTCTCTAGGAGCAGCTGGTGGATTTAAACTGCTGGCTTGAGGTTAGCAGCTCAAAATTCATGTCATTCCCACATGCAAAACACATTTACCCTGTCATGTTATCCCAAAATCTTAAGTTAATTCCAAGTCCCAAATCTCATTTTCTGGATTATCTACATCAAACAGAAATGAGACTTTATTTTACCTCATTCTTTGTTTCTGATCATTCCTGAAACAGATTATTATCCGAGTCTATCGTCTACTTCATGAATGCTTTCTTCTATTAATTTAGTAATATCGACTAATTTCTATGTCCTTCCGTTGTGTTATCTCTTTCTGATACTTTATTGTTAATCTCCTGCATTTCCAGTTGTCCTTTTTGTACGGTTTCTACATGTCTATTTTATTTTGTCGTTCTGTTCTTGTGTGAGGTTTCTCGAGTGGGTAACACCTCGGTTCTTGGCTTCGCACGAGAAAGAATTCACACCGAAGTCTGTTTTGTGATACAAGTGAGTTTTTATCAAGGACGGGACAAGTTTCAGGTTTTACAGTCTCCAAAGGGTACATGCTACTTCAGGGAAGTGTGTCAAGCTGCGAGGAAGCC